ATATATGATTTAATTTAGTCCAGAAAATAGCTAATTTTGTTGGATATTATCTTCTCCATAAATATCTCTAACAATAATATATGATTTGTTATATTTCAAATTCAAATTTAAATCTCTATTTAAATCTAATTTGAACATCTCTAGCTATCAAAAAAATCAAACAAACATTGTTAAAATAACTGCAAAAAATATGACTGAATCCCAATCAAAAACTGCACACCAAACAACATCCATATGGACGGTTGTCGAGGCCAGATGTTGCACTGAACATATTGGAACATCGTGTTCCACATGTTTCATCAAAACATCAAAATTTTCTCTTCTCCATAACTTGTAGATCTTTTTTTGTAGAGAGTATCTTGGATAGAAAAATTCATAAATAAACTACATTACCATATGTTTGTTGCGAGAGACCAGATGTTGCAGCACACATGTTATACCATCGTATTTAACATGTGTCTCTTCTTTACTAGAAACATCTTGAGCAAACTCCATGTTATTTTGCATAATGTAGCCAATCTTAAAAGGACCGATAATCTCTCCATTTGGAAAATTTTGGCAAAACAACTCTTCAACCAAAAAAACACATCGAGTAGCAGAGTCATCCCATGCTCAGAACAAACAACAGCAATAGCAAAAGTAAATCTATCAGAGCATATAATAGCAGTAGCAGAATTCAGAGCAACAATAACATATTTGTAGCATAGACAGAACCATCATGAGGTAGTTACACATACATGAGTTTGCTTATCAGAGGTCCTAATGTAGCTACATACACATGAGTCGTGAGGTAGTAAAACACACAAAATCAGGAGTAGAAACTATCAACAATAACCATGAGCAAATGTGTTGATTAGAAAGCCAGAACATCAGGGCTGAAGCTAAAACATCATAACAGAAAGCTAAAATAACTCTTGATGAAACAAAATTAACTCAACCTTCATCATCATCTGAGAAGGTTTCTTCTTCAATGCAAATCCAATCTTCCAAATTTTCTTAACTAATCCAAATATTTATTTCAAACCTTAGAACAAATCTGAAGTGCATGAGAATCCATCAGTATAGCATGCACTCTAAGACGTCAAACAACATGTTCCAGGCATATGCTATCCATTTTTCCTATAAAATCAAAGAAAGAACATTCTTGTTTGTCTATTTTTAGGCAAATCACATATTAAACACTTCTTTAAGATTGCACCCAGCTAGTGCACAAGATAAAGTTTATCAAAAGACATTATCAAAGTAGTTTGCCATTTTCCTTTTTCTCCCCCTCTTTGTCTAAAAAGAGACAACTGACATAAAACCACCATTAGTCAAACAACCTAGAAGTAGATCCTGCATACAGACATGATACTACCCACATTCTCCCAATCATTCTTCATATAACAGCAACACACGACTACTTATGAGGAACATCCTTTCGTGAGTATCATCATATCATAATCTCCCCCTAATTTTCACAAACTGGGACAGGGGTAAAAAGGTCAACCTAGTATGTCCACAAGTATTAGATGACAAGAACCCAAGAGCAAATGACACAAACTTGCGGTAGCAGCAATGACAGTTTGAGGTGAAAAAGCTCCAACGTTTCTCCTTTAAAAACCATATCAGTTTCGTCAATAGTTGCACGGATGTTGGACACAATGTCTTAGACATCTTTCCCAACATTCAGAATGTGACTCAAATTCGGTAACCCATGAGAAGTACCATCATTCAGTATTGTCTTCAAATACTGAGCATTACTAAGGAGCTCCATAATTTCATAATGTTTCAGTGCTTCAACATAATGTTCCTTTTCAAGAGCCATTTTCTCATGATGAGCAACATTCCTTGTCTTCCTAGATAATTTATTACTACCAAACATATATTTCTTTCCGAAATAAGTTTATCAACATGTTCAAAATAGGAAGGAGATCACATCGTTGAATTGTCACTCAGTGTTGGTTCTACCTTTTTAGGAGCACCTTTTGTTTTTACTGGTTGAGATGGTGGTTTCAAATCAATGGTTTTTGGATAAGAAATTTTCCTTAATTTCTCTTAGATGTGGAGTTTCATATTTTCATCGACTTTATCTCTCATGTATCACCTCTCATTCAGTCAATATAGATATATTTTATTTATCGTCCTTCATCACACCATCATCATCAAACCTTATCCTTTTTCAGTGACTGCAAACCTCATCCATTCATATCGGGCTATCAAGTTTCACCTTTTTCAAAATTAGACAAGCACATGGGACCCCATAGGTTTTCCTTAGTATACAACCACATTTTACGCTATCAGAACCTACATTCTCGACTCGTTTTGCTTTGTGAAAAATAAAATTCGGTCTAGCCCGAGATATGTTGTCAAGCAACTGAGAATATAGTTTGTTGTCGTTAAATATGTGTTCCAACTGATGCTACGACCAAATGATGTTTGTATCTCTTTATGCTGATTTTGGATCATTTGGTGCACAAAGTCTCAATCCCTACACATATCACCCTTACTATTTTCCAACCAATTCTTCAATGCTGCTTGGGCAGACTTAACTTGGTTAGTTGTTATATTTTCGAGTTGTCTAACCTGATCGATTCAAGCACAAACAATCTTTTCCTTCACCTGGTCAAGATTATACTTTCAACATATTTTAACAAATTTGGATATTTCTCACACACCTTTTTTAATTTTATAACACATCGGCATAAATTTCTTTTGTAGAAGCATTAATTATCACAATCCATGCATCCATTATTTTTTTCCATCATGATGCTTGCTTTGACAATCATTTCGTTTACGCCCTTAATTTGTTTCGTCTCAACCGCATGTTTAACTCTATTTCTCACATTCTTTGTGATGTGATACCTACAAAGTAATGTGTAAGAAGTAGGAAAGACCTTTGCAACCGAATTCATCAAGGTGGTATTGCGGCCGGTCACAATGACTTTAGGCATGTCTTCTTTGTCCTTCAACATTGTTCTACAGACTTTTAAAGCTCGAGAAACATTTTCCTTTTTCTCACTCTCCAGAAATGCAAACCCAGGTAATATTTTACACTTGCTTGATATTCAATATGTTTTCGGGTTTATTGTATTTCAAAGTTGCAAGTATGTTTTTAGGCTACACCATATTCAATGTCATGTCTGTAATGATTTCCTTCTCTTCCGACATTAGGCGACATGCAATTGGATGCCCGACTAACATGACACATAGATCATGGTTATGTAAACCATAAATGATATTAAATTTCCATTTTTTATTCGACAACAGATAACCACGCAACTTAAAAGGACACTCACATTTTCTCAAACTGGTGCCATCTTGTTTGAATTTCTGGAGAGGATTTTTATGCGTCCCACTTCTTTCGCATATCATTGTCACAGATGCAGTTCTTCTATTGAAGTATTGTCGGAACTTCCAATTACAACACCAAACCCCAATTTAGATGCCTCTGTACGTATCCATTGAAGCATATGGTCACGAAACTCAAAGTCTTGTCTAGTTGTAAATTGTTTGCAAACATCTACCACTTTCACTACGACACTTTTGACATCCGTAGACACAACAAGTTTTGAAAACAATCCGGGTGCACCATAACTAATGCCAACAAAAAAAAAATATTTAAAAATTGAGATAAGGGACATTTAGGAAATGCATTTTCGTAGGAATTCATCTGGGTTTCAGATATGCATTTCCGAAAATAGCTTAACTTTGACAGCACAAAAACAAAATTAATGTGAGCAATGAAGAATGAAATGAAATATCTTTACCTTGAATTTCAGCTTCTTTTCCTCTTTTTGAAATGATGAAACACAAGATTGAAGTTTTTGAGCTAAAATCTTGATCGAGAATGGAAGGTTTTTTTGCAAGGGTTTTGATAAAGGTTTGCAATGGAGTTTGATCATGTAAGGTTTTATTTTATCAAAAAATGACGTTTGACGTTTTCGGAGATACATCTCTAAAATATACTGACACTGCAAAGGTCACACCTTTTCAATTTCCCGCTTCACAATTCTAAAGATGGACCTCTAAAAAAATCAATGACTTGGTGAATTATGAATAATAATAAGGTTGGCATGAAGATGCATCTCTGAAACATATTTTTGAAAAAAAAAATGTGACTCAATTGAGTTGTATTTCAATAGTGTAAAAAACGCGTAAAATGTATCTTCGAAATCTAACAACATTTTTAAGTTTTTATAAAATATTATTCCACCTCATAAGATTAAAATTTATATTTAAGACTGAGCTTAAAATTTAATGAAAATTTATATATATTTAAAATGTTCGTGAATCTCTTAATATCGACGATAGAAGTTAAACTCAGGTCTCTTATCTTTTCATCAAAAGAGTCAATTTTCTTGGTTAAACAATAATTTAAAGATGAGTTTTATGTTGAAAATAATTTTTTTACAAAAGAACTATTCTATTAACTTCTGAAATTGTTTTTAATAGAAGAGAGAAATACTAGATAAAATTATTTTTTAGTACAAATTTTGTGTAGTTACCTAGTAATCAGTTTGAAACCAACACAGATTACTTATGTTTTTTTTTACTTCTAAATTATCAATCTTAAAATCATCTTCATTTTAATCTACATCAACAATTAGTATAAATCATCTCATATATCCATCAGATGAAAGAGAAAAATAATGATAAATAGTTATTATTAAAAATAAAATAATAATAATAATAATGAAAAAAAATAGAACAAAACTGCAAAATATAACTGGATTAGAATCATGATTAACTCTTTTTCCTCAATGAATAAGTAATGTTAAATAAAAAAAATTGAATTACAATTTATCCATGAAGCTAAGAAAAAATATAATGAACACAGATATATGCTCTCCACATGAACTGCACAAGTTTTTCATTTTTGCCAATCCTAACTTTAAAGTCTTCTTTACATGACCAAGTTAAAAAACTGCTTCTCTTTGTTGAAAGATATATCTTTGGCACCACCACTGAACAATCAAACGAATTTTACCTTAACTACAAATATGTAATTGGGATGAGAATTAGAGCTTCCAGAAGGTCTTGGTCAAAACTAGAATTTTTTCTCGGTCGTGTGAGTCGGGTCTTTTATCATAAATGGTCGGCTTCCACCTCACTGAATGAGCAATGCGAGCTAGTTTGTCGATTACTTCAGGAGCATCGCTCACCACAATGGTTCCCTCTGGCCGTAGTATGCGGTCAATTTCCACCATCAAATCAACAATGTTACATCTGAAATGTTGTGAAAAAGAAATGAGTGAAGTTTTTAATCTAGGAATTCCATCAATACATCAAGATCGGTAAAGTCACAGGTCTTGGTTCAATAAAAAGATTTCTCGAATCGATAGGTTAAGAGCTTAGGATACCGGGGAATGTGATATCAGATTAGCAGTTTAACAGGAAAAATACCTGCTTTTACCAGAAGCTGGATCTTTAATAAGTGACTCAATGCTAACCACGTGGATCAGATCATAAGTTCGAGGGTATGTTGAAAACGGTTCACACCTGCAAACATTATAACCGAGAAAATATATCCATTATCATTGAAAATTCCACAACATATCTTATTTTTAAATCATGTCAACAAAGAAAAGTTTAAGCAAAAACTCACCAATCATGATAGACCCCAATAAGGCCTCTGTCAAAGATCGCATCAAGAGTAAGTGGGTTTTGAGCTGGAACTACATTCATTACCCACACAGGATCAGATTTTAAGGCAGCTGCAAAACCCCCAGACAATGCATTCATGTCCATGACGTTGCGTATCAATGGAGTCCCCAACTTTATGTTTAGAGAATTTTTATAGTGTGCAACCCTTCTCGCCCACTGCTTAGTGTCAGCCTCGTATACATCAACACCGGTTTTCAGAAGAGCGGACCTCGAAGGTGCAGCAGTTAGCCTCTTCGGCCATTTTGGAATTGTTCCAATTGCATAATCTCCTTTGATAGATGACGTACTACTTACACATTTCTTCAATTTAAAGTACCTAGAAAATTGATCAACTTAGTTTCACAATTCAATGTAATCAATAAGAGATATTTTAACAAATTCACTGGTCTGCTGGAAATTACCAAGCTTGACTTAAGTCACCGGAATCATCACATAACTCGAGACCAAATTCATTTTCGTTAGGAAGACACAAATCTCCGGTTGGCTTCTTCCAGATTGCAGTGTTACCATCTACAGTAATCTGTTGATAACACAAGGCTTTTGCAACAGCCTGAAGATCTGACCATTCTTTTTCCTGTTTGGCCCACCGAACAGGTGGACCGGAGATGACTAGATATCCACCAGGACGAAGCAATCTATCCACTTCAAGGAAATAAGTTGCATCTACATGGTAAATTTTTTGCATAAGGAGGTGACAAGATTAGAATACTTGTAAATATACATAATCGAGCCATGATGCAGAACTTACTGTAGGCTGTAAACGGGATCAAACACCGAGAACAATGAACTAAGTCAAATCCAAATGCAGGAAATGGGAGTCTTCTAGTGCCAAGCATAGCAACAAAAGCCGGTATGCCTCTTTCCAAGGCAAATTGTATCTGGGATTTATGTGAATCTCTTGGTGCAAAAGACATGGCTAAGATGTTTTGAGCTAGTAAATATCCTCCAAAACTAGCAACCTGGAGAAAAATGGTATGAATTCGAATGTTAAGCGGTGATAAATTCCTACACGGACACTGGATAAAACTGTGGCAAGGTCTAAAAGGGAAACAGGAAAACATCTCTTACCCCACACCCCATATCAAGTGCAGTCCTCAGAACACCTCCCTTTATGGGAATGTATTGACTGAGTTTTTCGATATATTGCTCTGCTCCATCTGGAAACATTGTACCACCGCCGGGGAATAAAAAGTGTTGACCTTCTCGTTTCATCCATCCTTGGTGACCTTTCCTATCAGCAATCTTGTTGTGTGGCATGTTGCTATGCCATATCTGTACAGAATATTTTATTAAAGCTTTTATACAGATAGATAAAAGAGTGACAAATATCAGCAGAGCCGTCTTTGAGGGCGGGCTAACGCATATGGCCCAAAATTTGACAAGCTTAAATTGTGCCTAAAAAGGACTTCATAAAATATTTGTCACCATTAAACCATGATAAATTAGGGCTTCTATTTGATTTGACACATAAATCGTAATTAATCTATACAAGACCTCCAAAAACTTAAGAACATCAATAACATTCCAAGAATGAATGAATGAAAGAATTAATGTTCTCAATTTTATTGCATTCCAATTTGGCTCCTCCTCTCATGTCATCTCATTCTCACCTCATCTAAGTTTCATCACCCTGCAAACTAAATGTCAATAACTTCAATCCCAAACACACATCTCTATCTCATTCTAAACTAAACATCCACAGTATTGTCATCCAAACATAACAAACAAAATTACCAACTTTCCATACTATAATGAACATTTAAACAAAGCAATGAATCAACAATAAACCTTATGCATGCTTTCTGGCCACAGCACCGGGATCCGGTATCCCTTAGGCGGCGGAATCAAGCAGAGTGCAGTCTCCTCCGGCAAAGGACAATGTCTCTCCCTATAGTAATTCATCTCCCTACTGAGCTGACTATTCCGCCTAGGATCCTCACACGGCATGTGGTCCGCCTCACTTGCAGGACAAGCCTCAATGATCTTCCCATTTGGCATCCCCTCTTCGATGGCCACCACAAGACGAATACGCTCTTGCGGGTCGACGGTGGATGGACCGACTACCCGGCGGCCACCAAGGGTGGTGTAAAAGAGAACAAAGAAGAGAAAGAGTAAGGAAAAGAAAGCAATGGAAATGAGGTCGAGGAGACGCCATTGACGCGTGTTCGTGCGCTTCCAAGATGGGAAATTGGGGCGACCCATTTTGAGGAAGAAGATGGATCTGATTAATAAGCCATTTGGGTATTCGATTTTGATATCAAAATCGTTTTTTTATTAAGGGAATCAAAAAAATGTGTAAACTGGATTGATTTGGGTGTCAGTGTTTGTGTGTTGTTAGTGGTAAACTGATATTTTTGGTATGAAGTGTTGTTAGTGGTTTTGTTTTTGGATGTGAGAATGAGACAGGATTTAAGAGTTAAGAGTGAGATGTGAAAGAATGGAGAAGATGGTCCAGGATCTGATTATCCTCCTGATCTGATTTTGGATTATTATAATTTATTGTTAATTATATTATAATGATAACTATCCTTTGCATGACAAGATTCATGTTGGCTTTAAAAGAATAATGAGTTTTTGGTTTAGCAATTTTATAATATATATAATTAATTTTGAAATGATTTTGAAAAGTTTGATTTTTTTTTTAAAAGGAGAATTGATTCGGTCTTAACTCATTCAATTTATTGAATGATAATGTAAATATTTAATTACATCTCACAATACAAGAAAATCAAATATAAGTTTAAAGTGTTTTTGAGTAGTGCATTTTGAAATAAAGAACTTGAATCTTATATGTAGTCTTATACTCTCACTTCTTTCATAAAATTAAACGATTTGAGACTTTAAAGAACTTGTGTCATATATATAGCTTTGAACCCTCTCTTCATTCACAAAATTAAGCGATGTGGAACTTCTTCAACATGTATATTTTCAACCAACCCCAGCAATTTCCACCATGATTGAAAATAATACATAAGTTTTCATTGTCTTCACCGACAAGCATACCCTACCATAAAGAGTATCAACATGTATATTTTTAACAAACCCCAACAATCTCCACCTTGATTGAAAATAATACATAAACTTTCATTGTCTTCACCGACAATCATACTCCACCATAAAGAATATGGTCTCTTGAAGCTACACCACTCCATGAATTTTCACATTGTCTTCACCAGCAACCATAATTTTAAAAACTATCATACTCTCTCATGAAGAATATATTTTACTTGAAGATAAACCAATTCAAGAATTTCACATTGTCATCACAACCAATCATATACTTTATCCTGAAGAATAAATTTCACTTGAAGCTAAATCACTCCAAGAATTTCACATTATCTTCATCGACAATCATAATTTTAAAAAACTATCATACTCCACCTAAAGAAGAGTATATTTCACTTGAAGGTAAACCACTTCAAAAAATTTCACATGTCGAAAACCAGGTTGAAACATTATGTGTAACTTCCTTGTTGGCAGAAAGTTATTCAACCACTGACATAATCTTACACCTTGTGTAATCTTGATTGTATCAACACATCTTTGACTTAAACTTTTCACAAGTAAAAAAAAAATCTTCCATCAATTCTCTCTAGCCCAAATTGCACAACAAAATTTGTGACTGCAGCTCAACAACTCTTTCATAACACTACCCTTCTTTTCTGATGTGGAAGATCAGACAAAACTGCAACCACAGAGCATACTAAGAACACTTATCCCCAAATCAAACCAAAAGCTCTAATACCAATTATTAAGAAAAAAACAAACAAAGCATAGAGAAAAAAGAGGAACACAATCACAACACAAGAAAATAACGTGGAAACTCCAAAATCGGATAAAAAACCATGATCATTGTCAATAGACAACCAAATAATAACATTATGTTAAAATTGCTACAACAAATAATATACCTTCAACTAACTCAGCCCCCCCCCCCCCCCCCAATACACCCACACGCTCCAAAATAAATATTTAACTATAATGACTGGTGCATCTTGGAATGAAGAACTTGAATCATATATATAGCCTTGGACTCCCTCTTCCTTCACAAAACTAAGTTATGTGGGACTCCAAAGAACTTGTATCCTATATATAGCATTAGATTCTCTCTTCATTCACAAAACTAAGCGATGTGAGACTACCCCAACAATTTCCACCTTGATTGAAAATAATACATATGCTTTCATTGTCTTCGCCGACAATCATACTTTACCATAAAGAGTATCAACATGTTGTTAGATAATGCTTCAATGTCGAATGGATCCAGACTGAATCGTGAACGAAATCACTTTCCTTAAAAGTATTTCAAGCACACTCTCAAATTGTCTTAGAGTTGGAACGGCCTGAATACCCAGGATAAGTCAGCCTTTTTCTCGAAACTGCACAAGACTGGTGAAGTTTCGAATGCAAGGAAAACGTTTGGAATTATATAGAAGAGGATATCAGATATTGGAGTATTTGATTTCGAAGTATCAAGCATATATTTATAGCCATGCATGTGTCGTTTCGGAAGTTTGCAACTCTTCATAAACAACACTCTCTAATGAGCATTTGCAATGGTTCAAATAAAATGTCATGCACCACTTCATGAAGTGTCATATATTTCAAATTCAAATTCAAAAATCAAACTCTAGGCAACGAATAAAATCTGGAGCGACAATTAAAACAAATTCGCAGTATACCGGCCGAAGGCCGGAGCGCCACCGGCGCCGCCTCATTAACGCCGCGAATATCCTGATTGCTCCGATGCGTCGTGCCTAAGTGCTCAAGTGCCTTCTACAAGCTGCCACTAGCGCCTCTACGCCCACGCCCTCGGATCCGGTTCCGGAGCCGGAGCCGGAGCCGGTGGCGACACCGGTGAGGGGTGTTTTGTATGAGACAAGTGACATAAGACTTAGGACCACCACATATGACTATGTGGCACCTTATCCTCTTTGGCTCCTTTGGAAAGTACATTGTTCCAAGGGCCTTATAAATGCTATTTAATTTTACTCCACTTCCAATGTGGGACTAAGCATTTATTGTCAATTAACTATATCACCCACTTTGTCATTTTGGAACAACTTTAATGGAAATAAATCTTCATTATTTCCAACAATCCCCCACTTGTTCTAATAATGACAAAATAATAATTCCAGAAATGAGACATAAGAAGTATTAATACAGTTTAAGTATCTTTCAATTTTAAACTTAACCTTAGTAAGGATAACACAAGGTTTAATCGGAACATTAGGTAGCAATGCTTTTAAACCATGAATCCATATGAATAGACCGGTGTTACCTTACACACACTCCTTAAAGATTCTTCATCTGCATAACTCGCTTAGCACTTATTTATGGCCATGTGCTATCCTGTTTCATGAATTTTTTTTTATGAGAGAAACTCCAACTCTCACTTTGAGACGGCACCATCTCAGAATTCACATAGGTGAAGTTCATATAGTATCTGTTTCCAATGGATACGTACCCTCGGTATTGAACTTCATTAAGAGTTTAAAATAAAACTCAACCCTCATTTCCAATGTCAACATAATTACGAAATGTTAGACAATTATCCAAATCAACGACTTGTTATTACCCATTGAAAATCTTAAAGTTAATGTTCTGTTAACTTAAGATTGGGTTGCCGCCGTTGTCGGAACTCTTACTCAAGGAGTTTCAACCCCATATCTCTCGAGGTTGTTTTTACTAAGTCTCTGGCCAGTGGCTTAGTAAACGAATCAGCCAAATTATAGCTTGTTCGTATATACGTAAGTGAAATGATTCCATCCTTAATCAGTTTTCTCACGAACGAATGTCTAAGTCCTATATGCCTAGACTTTCCATTATACACTTCGCTAAATGCTCTTGCCAAAGTGGCCTGACTATCGCAGTGTATCATTACTTTTGAAACATTGTCTTTAGCCAATGGAACTTCCAAAAGAAGATCCCTCAACCACTCTGCCTCTTGACTAGCGGAAGCGAGAGCCACGAACTCTGATTCCATGGTCGAAAGAGTAATGCATGTTTGTTTCTTGCTCTTCCAAGAAATTGATCCTCCAGCTAGTGTAAATATCCACCCAGTTGTAGATTTATGATCTCCCACATTAGATATCCAACTAGCATTGGTATATCCTTCTAATATAGCAGGAAACCCACCATAATGAAGGCCAAGATCTTTGGTTTTCAACAAATAACCAAATATCCTCGTGATTGCCTTCCAATGTTCATTACTTGGATTACTAGTAAATCTACTCATTTTACTAACTGCAAACGATATATCGAGTCTAGTACATTGCATTAAGTACATAAGACATCCAATCGCACTTGCATATTCTAATTGAGCCACTGCTCTTCCATCATTCTTTTCAAGTTTGATTACATGATCAAATGGAGTAGTTACTTCCTTGAATTTCAGATGTTTGAACTTATCAAGCATTTTCTCAATATAATGTGTTTGATTAAGTTCATAACCCCCACTATTTTGCTTAACTTTTATTCCTAAAATTGTGTCAACAAGTCCAAGATCTTTCATCTTGAAAGTGAAAGTTAGAAACCTTTTTGTTTCTAAAATTCCATTAAGTTTATTGCTAATTATTAGCATGTCATCAACATAAAGACACAAAAATATTACAGTGTTATTATACACTTTTGTATATAAACACTTGTCACAAGAATTAGAAATAAATCCATTTGACATTATCATGGAATCAAACTTTTGATGCCATTGTTTTGGTGCTTGTTTTAAGCCATATAGAGATTTGACAAGTTTGCACACCCTTTGTTCATTTCCAGGAAGAACGTATCCTTCTGGTTGTTCCATGTAGATTTCCTCATCGAGGTCTCCGTTTAGGAATGTTGTTTTAACATCCATTTGATGAACAATCAGATCATTCAAAGATGCTAAAGCAAATAATGTAACATCCCAATTTTTCAATAAGTGATTAATTGTGCTAATTAATTGGTTTATGTGATTTATCTGATTTAAATAAATTATTGGATTTATTTAAATGAGTTAATGGATTTAATTAATTTATTCTACTTGGTAGAATAATGTGGATTTATTAGATATTCTCTAATTAATGATAAAATTGGATATTTTGTGAGAAATGAATTGATAGATATTTTTGAGAGAAGAATTATGATGGAAAGAAAATAAAAGGATATATAAGGGAAATTGGAGAGAAAAGAAAAGAGATAGAAACATAAGAGAAAGAAAGAAA